GGGGAAATCTCACCATTGTGGGAGGGGCAGAGACACAAACTACTGGGGGAAATCTCACCATTGTGGGAGGGGCAGAGACACAAACTACTGGGGGAAATCTCACCATTGAGGGAGGGGCAGAGACACAAACTACTGAAGGGAAAACTCACCATTGTGGGAGGAGCAGAGACACAAACTACTGGAGGAAATCTCACCATTGTGGGAGGGGCAGAGACACAAACTACTGGGGGAAATCTCACCCTTGTGGGAGGAGCAGACACAAACTACTGGTGTCACAATATCTGGAAATCCGTGCCGGATTTTTGCTTTGCTCCCTGGTTCTGGGCTGTCAGCCTATGGTGTCTCACAAGGCTGCAGCCAATCTGCTCTCCTCCTCCCCTATTTAGGACTTCCTCACTTGTTGCTCTTGGTGCGAGCAACAAGTCTTATGCCTTGTTCTGTACCCCCTTGTGGCTCTAACTATCCCTGGGATCTTATTCCCTGCGCTTATTATTGGATCCTTGTGCCTTTGGCTTCCCTGTACCAGCTGGTATCCCTGTTTGGCGTTATCCCCTGCTTTGCTCTTTGCACACCTACTATAGTATTTCAGTGGTTACCTTTAGTATATTGCTGCAGACCTTAATTGCTTTCACCTGTGTGCGGTGAGTCTCTCTATACTGCCTTCATTGCCTCACTTCTGTGTTTTCCCCCTCCAGTCTTTGTCTGTTTGCTTCCTCCTATTTACTGCTTTCTTGTACTTCAATTCCCTCACTTACCTTCCAGTGTATCTTCCTTTTGCTTTGCTGTCACCCCTTTATTTCTGTGCTACTCTCTTACCTTGTGGCTGTGTTGGATTCATCATTTCTCTGCACACCCCCTGTGTGCATATTTCCCTTTGTGCTTCTTTATTTACTTTTCCCTCTTTTATCCTGCTTCTTTGTATGCATGTGCAATGCACATCTCTTGCTTACTCGGGGATCTCAAGTCTCCCTGATGTTCAGGGAGTCTCCATCTATTAGCAGCTCCCTGACGTCCGTGAGAGAGGCATTTTCTCCCTGAAAGGTTTACTTTGAGTAAACCTTTCCGGTAAGATATCAGTGGGTAAGGTTTCAGAGTGAGGCTTGCCTCCTGGAGGAAGATCATGTGATCTCTAGAGTAGCCTCAGAGTGAGGCTTGCCTCCTGGAGGAAGGGCATGTGATCTCTAGAGTAGCCTCAGAACGAGGCTTGGCTCTCAGAAGGAAGAAGCTACTTGCTGCACAGAGAGGGCGGACATAGACTACTATTGAGAGCAGGTACAGGCACTGCTGCAGGGTTGAGAGAGGGCTGTTAACCCTTTGTGTACAATATAGAATCAATTATATGTCCTGGTTGTCTAGTTATAGAGAATATTTATTTCATTTGCTGCCCATAGCAATTAGTCAACTGTGTATCAGGGACTTTACTCAGCGTTTTTTTTAAAAAGGTCTCGGGCTGTCTAATAAATTGTGACCTTTACACTGACAAATACTTGAATATCAATTCACAAATCTGATGTGTGTGTATATATATGTATATGTATGTGTGTGTGTATATATAAAATTATTATTTCTTTTATATTCTGAGGACGGTGCTGTAAAAAAAACTAACAGTAAGGGCACCTCCCTGAAATAAGGTTTTGCAGGTTGGGATGTCTGCTTACTTTTGTGCGTTACACCTTCCTGCTCCTGGGTGTGCCTCTAAGCTACTTACCCTTCCCTGGTGTCCTTGCTGTTCTATTCTCTTCAGTATACTCTGCTGTGCGATTTGCACTTTTGCTTGAGCTCTCTCCCTATCTTCCTCCTCTTGGTTACAAGTTTATTCCCTACCTGTTTGTATCCAGTTCCCCGCTGCTTCAACTAGTCCTTTGCGTCTGTGTGGGTGCGCTAGAGGGCCGCAACCTGGAAGGTGTCCAGCAGCCAATCATCCTCACCACTAGAGGCTCTGTCGAATACCTGGCCCTTCTTAGATTCTGCGCCTCTAGTGCGTCCT